GTGTCGTACAGCAACACTCCTTAACAAATGTGCAAACAAAGGTTGACGCTGAGGGGGATTGAACCCGCAACATCTGCCACTGAATAACCACACATGGATTCCTTCTGTCAAACTTTAAGACAACGANTCCCGATGGGGTACGTCCTATGAGGATATACCTACTGACGTCCCCCATCATGATCTACACCGACAGTGTACTCTATCTGTGTCGTACAGCAACACTCCTTAACAAATGTGCAAACAAAGGTTGACGCTGAGGGGGATTGAACCCGCAACATCTGCCACTGAATAACCACACATGGATTCCTTCTGTCAAACTTTAAGACAACGAAAGGACGCGTCATTCGAATACATACGCATCTTCGTATTTTTTTCGCGCTTCGCGCGAAATAAATATATATCGTCCCCGGGTTGCCCTACCCATGGTCGCTGAGCCCACAGAAGTAGCGAGCGGCCTGCTGCTGCAGCTGTACATGACATGTAACCGCGTGTTGGTATGGATACCTCTCATCTACCGGCGGTCCATCAGATGCCTCAAAAAAATCATGTGGAGAAATAGAGCCAAGCCGCCCGGCTAGGTTCACTCAGGGAACTTGTCGCGGTATGTACGTGGGAAAACCGTCATGATAGCTTGGTCTTCGGGACATTAGACTATTACGCACTGTACTGCTGTACATCGGTGTTGTTGTCTTCACATTAAAAACCCATTCGGTCGCCAGTTAATGTCTGTACTGATCCAACTGACGCGGACGCCTTCCTTCCGCGTTCACACCCGGGTTGCAAGGGGCTCCGTACACCCCATTTTTCTTTTTTTTGTTCTCGACCAATGACTCACGGAACCCCTCGCAGCTGGCCTTCACCATAGCGACCAACCGAAGTTTCTCAATAGCTCCGGCTGTAGTTGCGATCCAAAATTAGGGCAGCCCTCTATAGAATCGTCGTGGACACCTCTAAAGTATAGTGGCGTTGAAAAGGTGAAAGGGATCGCACCCGCGACGGACCTCGGAGCGTAAAGTCCGCCAGAGGGGTGGTATCTTCCGTAGAATCTTGCCTACCTGTCCTGCGTCTCCCTGCAACGAGAGAGGGATTAGGGCTGCGTGGAGAGATCTCTGAGGCGAAACGGAGGAAGGCACTGCCGTGCACAACCCACCCAAGGTATGAGCACTTCATGGATCAGAAACATGGGCGAAAATCACTGATAATCGGGCGAATCCAGAGACAAGATCATGTGCGGCACGAACCACCCGGGTGCAGCGGCAGCTATAGCTCAGCAGCAGCTATAGCTGCTTCGTGCAGGCTAAGCCGCCCTTTTGCCTGCACCCGAAGGCAATGGTCCTGTACGGTTACCAACCGCGACGCGTGATGAATGCCGACTCATGATAGGATTGATATTGCTAGATTTAGGGGCGGGCGACAAGATTCAATCTTGTGTGGTCCCCAAAAAATTTAAAAATGAAAATGTAGTCTAATAATATTCTGTGATAGACACCGCTGCTGTTGTAGACACCGCTGCAAGCAGGGCCGGTTTACACGACGCCCCGCGACGAGGACTTGCCAGAGAGTCCAGCTGATATCGTGCATATTTTTCCCTCGGTTGCACGAGAGAGAGTCGCGATGTCGTCAGGCTGTCGTTGCAAATACGCAGCGTTAGTGTAACATAAACGGCGCCACTAGACTCGTTTTGCAGTGTAGGCTATGTAGGTAGTGTACACTACAGAGTGTGGTCCTGCTCCCTTTCCGCAACTTTTGTATTTGCGGCGTTTCTGCAGAGGGTTTTCTGCCGTGCGCTGGATGTGGCAATAAAACAAACCTTCTTGACGGAGAGTAGCGCAGCGGAAACGTGTGCTGTTTCGTCCTGATGGATGATGCGTGCCGTGTACTACACGAGCAGGAGCGGAGGTCTGCGTCTTGGTTATTCTCCCGAACGGGTACGCAAGTAGCCCATGGACGATCGAAACAAGGCGGTCTTGGCCACCATCGAAGACTCTATCGATGTTTTTTTCGCGAAGAGAGAGGGAGGTACGGAGGCGTGGAAGAATGGCGTCTCTGCCCGAGAGGTTCAAGGTCTGGTTTCCTTGGGCGCCAGTATTCCCGACCCCTTCGCCGGTTTCAAGCTGAATCCCATCCCGGAGGTGAGCACTATTTAGTCACCACGGCGCCATACTTATTCGAAATGGAACTGGAACCACGGACTTGGTCGGCACGAAAAACTTACACAAGCCTTTCGAAGCAACATGTCACAATGCTAATAAACCCTAGAGCAGCAGTGTGCGGCGGTTGGAAAAAGGTATTATCGTTTCTGTGGCAACAAGTCCGGTGTGTAGGTTGGGTGCACAGGATGCGACCTTAGCCATATCAGGATCCGTATGTTTTTTCTTCCCGTCGAAATCAAATCGGAAATACTTCAGGCAGATTCGGGGTGTTTCAACCTGCCTGAGGACATCGACAAGCTTGCCAGTCGCTGTTTGGAAGGGGCAGCGACATCTGATGGTGGGGGGGTGGGTGTTCCCGTCGTAAACGAGGGGAAAGGCGCGTGTTTCTGGATCGCCCTTGCATCTGGGGCGCTCAACACCCGTTGTTCCACCGGGGGTGCTGCGCTTGCTCTCCGGACCGGAGCCATGCGTATGGCACTGCTGAAGTGCGAAGAGTTCCTGAGCGCTGACGGGTACCTGGCCGAGTACCGTTCTGGTGACCTCTTCGACACCAAGGAACACGACATGGTGATGAAGCTTGCAGGTCGTGTGTGGCCGATGAACATGTCGGCGGACGTTGCCCGCCTGTACTATCTCTGTGCTATCCGGAGTAACTGCGGGCCTTTCAAGTATAGTCAGCAGGCGGTCCTACCCTGGGCAGCGGAGGTGCTGGGCTTGAAAGTTCGAGTTTTTCACCCAGGTGGGTGTTTGTGGGTTATTGAAGTGCGGAGTCATTTTCAGGGTAGTCCGGTTGTCAGCGTACTCTTGGCGAGACTTTATGAAAACAGCCGTCGGTGAGCATATCTAACACCTAAATATTCTCGTGTGCACGCGTGATTGTCGTGCCGCAGCCGCTTCAGTTTCTTTGGTGGGAGGGAAATGGAACAAGAAGTATTGGATGCCGCTTTCCAGCCTGCGCTCAGGGCCCCATGCGTTGGCCCAAATGCCAGCCGTCCATCTTTCCCACTCCCTTTCAAGGGATGGCACCCCGTTCACCTCGATACAAGGGTTGGGCCGGCTACTTGGTCGTGGAGACAGGAGGGAGTTCTCGCATTTCGTTCTGCTCGTGAACACTATTTCTGTCGGTGCCATCGAGAAGGTAGGTGAAACGGGTAAATTTATAGCGCTGCACGTGCGTTTGCCTGGCTGCAACAATTTGGACGGAGGTCCTTGGTTTTTGATATGCCGTTGAGGTAACCATACGCAATTGGTAAACTGTGCAATATCGATCTGGCCCGCCGGTTGTTGCTTGTCCTGGGTGCCCGAATTTATAGGTGGATGGAGAGGAGCGCGACCTGCGGGAGGAGCTAACCTCGCTGGAGGAGCATGTTAACGTGGAGACACGGGACAATGCACGGAGGGTTGGGGAGGCAAAAGCAGAGGAGGCACGAGCTGTGCCCCTCAGACAGGAGGAGACGGCAGCCGCAAAGAAGGGGAGAGACGGTTGGGGCGCGGACTCGGACGAGGGGCCGGAGGAGCGTGTTGCCATGGAAACGAAGGCACGGCGGGCCGGGGAGGAAGCGGCCCAGAAAGCACGAGCTATGGCCCTCAGACAAGAGGAGACGAAAGCCGCAAAGAAGGGTTTAGGCGTTGGGGGGGTGGAATCGGACGAGGGGGGGAGGGGTGCATCCGCCCGAGAAGCGATGCCAGGGTGCTCCACGTGGACGCGACGAGGGCGAAAGCGGCGGCGGAGGAAAGTCTCGGGGCGCCGTAAGCAACGTGTAAGACGGAGGCAATTGCAGCATTGCGACGGACAGGGAAAACGGGGTTGGCGAAGGAGAACTGCAGGCGCTGCTTCACGCCTGCCAGGTCTCGCGAGGTACGCGTTCTGAACCCGGGGGGGACAGGCGGGGAGCCAAGAGAGTGGAGATCATTTCGGTGGACACGGACGTGTGGGTTGCGGCGCTTCTGCTATATGCCGTGCATGAATGGACAAGAAATGTGCGCATCGTCGTGAGGCAACAGCGGGGGTTCGGGCGTGCAGGTGAATGTGTCACTCACATTGATACGCTGGACCTTTTCGAGGGCATCGTGGGCCTGGACTGGCCCACCGGCTTCTCACCCATGCAGCGTTGCTTGCCGGTGATTGCCGCCTACACCCTGTGTGGAACAGACTTTTCGCCGACCCTGCACTCGTTGACTTCACATTCGATGTTCAACAGTTATTTCCACACCTTGCAGAACCCCCAAGTGCACAACTTTGTCAAACCGCTCGGTAGCAACTCTTGGGAGGTGTTGTGGGATAAGAGCGAGTGCATCAAGTTTATTGGTTTAGCGTATTTCGTTAAAAATAAACGGCTGTTCGACCCGCCGATGCCGGGTCGGCAGGTGAAAGACCCAAAGCGGGAGGGGCAGCCTGATGCGTTAGAGCCTTGGATAGAGCACCTTGTTCGCTGGACCCACGTTGAGCATTTTAAGAAGGCCCAGTGGCAGAATCAAGCCCCGGAGTATGATGTGATGGCCCTACACGTAGATCGAATGATGTGGACAACGGAGTACTGGTTGTCGACGTCCATGGAAGAGGATCGCTATCCTATACAGGTTCCAGATTGGAATGGGAAGGGGTACATCAAGGACGAGGGGGATGGGAACGCTTTAATGCACCTACGCTGTTCGCCGTGGGTCACTGTGAAACCGGGCCAGGGTATTGCTGTGACGAAATGCAGGTGTTCACCAGAAACACCCCCTGCCGGGTCTAAACGATGCAAATCGTGCGTGTGCACGACGGTGGGGTTAGGGCTTTGCTCACAAATGTGTAACTGTTCCTTCGTGTGTGGGCTTCGACCAAAGACGGCAAGCGCGGGGGGGGGGGGTAGTACATCAGACGCGCCTGCGGGGGCCGGGGCGGGCAATGGCACGTCAGAGCAGGGAGATAGGGGGCAGAGGCTACCTGGTGCGCCCGAGCAAAGACCGTTGACAGCGGAGTTGGATGACATGTCGGGGTACGGTGATGGTGCGGATATGCAGGGCGACGATATCGATATTGAGAGTATCGAGGAGGACTTTTTTGATGACTTGCCAGGACTCGATGCCAGCGGAGATGAGTTGACGGCTTGCGGGCGCCCCGCCTACGACGTAGAGTTGTATTCTTTCGGTGAAGAAGTTAGTGTTTGAGTCATGTTCGTGTGTGTTGCGTAAATTTCTGTCTGTTTAATTTAGGTTCGGGGCATACAATTTGAACACCTGTTTGGGATGAAAAACGTGCTGTGAGTTAACAATATTTTCCCATCGTGCTTCGTGCTCTTGGTTACAAAACACGGGGGGTTCGACTGGCCATAAAAAAGATACGTACACATAGACGCTTGGTGTCGTAATTCCACTTCCGACCTCACACTGTTGCTAGGCAAAATATGGGGACAAAACAGAAGCACAAACAGTCCTGCATAAAATAAGTCGTGGGCATATAACCCATACCAACAAAAGACCGCATGCAACAGAAGCGGCCGCGGTTGTTGCCAGCGAAAAACCAACTTCTTCTTCCTATAGGGATCCTACCCATCCGTGCAATATGGAAACTACAGCTTGGGGATACTGCTGAAACTGGTGTTGGATAAAATTAATTCAGGGGGAACCGCCTGCACTGCTCAAGGGCGAAACACCAGCCTCGTCGTCACATCACGTGATGCCGTCTTGTACCACACTCCCCAAAATTCCCCCATCAGCACATGTGCTGGCTGATACGTAGCCCTCCTCAAGAAAATGCACACCGAGGGCGGGTTTTGCTGAAGCCACCCCCCCCGATCCCCACAAGGCTCCATGAACGACAACGGCAACTTCAACGCTACCCCGTGCCCAGCTACCGCCATCGCCGCCTTGACGAACTCTATTGCTCCTTTGTACGGCGGGCTTGTAACGACCCAGTCGGGACGCCGAGCGCCACTCGAGAGGTAATCGTTCTCGAACGTGGGCGCGGTGGCATCCAAACTGGTGTCTGATGCGGACCTTGCGACGACAACAGCGGGGTGACAAGAAAGGAGGCAGTGCGCATTATTCAAAACACGTCAAACAACACTGCTGTACACAAAACTTGAGACGAACGCGTGGAGAGGCTAACTTTCGAAGCTAATAGTGAAACATTTGAGTAAAAGTCAATGCCACACAGGAGGCTTGCAACGAAAGAGCGACACCACTCCTCACCTGTTCCGAACGTCGTTCGTAACGACACAGCAGGTACGCGCGAGGGTGGTTGCCACGGCGTCCCCAGACCCACCGCACATATCGAGTACAAGCCCTTCAATGATCACCTCCGCGAGCAAAGCCTTCACCGCCTCGGGCGACGTGCAATAGCGGTCGAGGGGTCGGCGTTTGAAGTGCATGGTCGGTTCAGGAACACGGCCATCCTTCCTCTGTTTGCGTTTCCGGGGCTGCAGGCGCTTGATGGCACCCCTCTCCTTGTCTTCTTGCTTCGTGAACAGGTCAAGCAGGCACCCCCCACGCTTGCAAAGATGAAACGTATGTTCGACCGAAAACTCTAGTTGCGGGAAACGCTGGGAGACACTGACTTCCATGCTGAACTCTTGAATTCTATCCCGAACCCTCAGCCTAGGCTGGCGGAGACCTGCACCATCGTCTTGGCGACGGCAGGCACTGCAGGTCGCCGCCGCTCTCGGCGAGAACATTCCTGCCAAATGGAAATACAGCAGGGACGGCCCATGGTTTATGCGATGCTGATAGTGGTGAACTATTGCTAGACATGGCCCAAGGCTCAGTTTTACATAGTGCGAGTGAGCTCCGCTGGTGTCATCGTGACAACCGCCTTACCCCTCACTACAAACACACGAGACCCGACGCAGGGGGTGGAGAATCCGCAAGATACACCGCACGAACATGGTGTTCAATTCGTCGCGACTACGGCACAGGTAGTGGCGATCCAAAATTAGGGCAACCCCTGGAGGCTTCTTTTGTCACATTCCTACTGGGGAACGAAATCGCCAGTCGATTTCGTTCGTTCCTCGGGGCCGACCTAGCGTCTGAAGATGACCTTCTCGTGCGACGGCGCTGCTGTCATTTACGGAGGGTGCCGGAAAAAACTCTTGACGAAAGCACTCCACCTTACGCGCTCCAAGAGAATAACGAGGACATACCAACCACTCACCGAGGTTCAACGTGATCTCCTTCCTGTACTCCGTAGGCTTTGTCGCGGTCCGGGCTGTGTGTGCTGAGAACTCTGGCCCCAAAGGTAATGCTCTCGTGGCATGCGCGCATGGCGCGGCGAGTTTTTTTGTGCTGGCCCCTTCCCGGGTACCGTGTCTGCTGAGCTACCATGTACGGAGCCCCGTGGGGCCTTTTTTTTTGCTTTTTCCACCGCGTGCAACCCGGGTGTCACAAGCCAGCAAAATACGCCCAAAAAGGTACACACCTTTCTTTCCTAGAAACCAAAAAATATAAATTGGACCCAGAAAAAGCGATTCGTTTTTACCCAACCAAACGACAAAGAAAACCAACCGAGATTCAGACGATAGACCCCGCGTCAAGAAAAAAATGAAAGAACGAAAGACAGAAAGAAAGAAAAAGGAAGAGAGAAGAAAGACAAAGAAAACAAAAAAGTAAAGAAAGGAATACAGGGAGAGGCGATTTTTTCTTCGGGTAGCTCCGCAAGTCGGTATTGGCGACACCTTTTTTTGTTTTTTGATGGGGAAAATAAAGTAGCTAAATATGGTCGTCGGTATTGGCGACACGTTTTGAAAAGGGGCACCGCAGGCGCCACGCCCACCCGTCGAAGACTGCTGTTACATACCGAGGGCGGCGACCTTTGGCGCGGTGTGTCGTGTACGCGGCGGAGAGGGAGGACGTGTGGCATGGAAGGTAGCGAGGAGCATGCTGCGGGTGAGAAGGCTGTCGCTGCTCCGGTCGAGGTACCTCAACACCAAGAGTCACCTGCAGTAGCAGCAGCAGCAGCAGCAGCTCAAGCTCCAGCATCACCAGCAGCTCGAGCGGCTCCAGATCTCGCTCCTCTAGATCCTACTCCAGCTGTCGCTACTCCAGCAGCAGAAACCGACGAGTATGATGATGGTTTCGTTTTTCAGAGGAGCTTGAGCAGACGTTGAAACTGGCCGAGGAAGAGCACCGTAGACGTGAGGTAGAGGCAACGGCAGCGATCGCCAAGGAGGCAGCAGCACGCGAGCGCGCTATACCAAGATTGGCGAGATTAGGTTGGCGCAAGAGGCGATCCTGCGGGAAACAAGAACTGGGCGCCAAGGACGATACCCGTGAGTAGTGTTTGACAAGCTGGTATGTAGGACCACCTGTGGAGGTTCGGGAAATGCTGCACAAGATACCACACCCCTTGACTGATTTCAAGCCCCCCGTAAATAGTGAAGCAGCTCCGCAGCAGAAAAGTGGCGGTGATGACAATGCAGGTGTTGGGACAGGCTTGTCGAGCTTGCTGACGATGAATTGCTTCAATTTTTTACTTTCTCTTGGTCAAGGATACCAAGCTTCGCAAATGGTTAAGGGGGGGTGGTATCCTACATGTAGCCAATTGGTGTTGCTCTCTCATGTCGTGTGCTGTTCGCACCGAAGGTATTGATGATGTGCATATGCCCCAGGGGAAAATATTTGATTTTACTTACAAGTAGACAAGAAAAACAAAGCTTGTCATGCACGAAGCATGCAGTTTTGGCCGGCATTGTCGCTTACCGTGGGTATTTTTTCTTGGTCCTCGCTCTGATAAAATGATTCAGGAAACGAGTTGAAGCGAAGAGGAACAAAGCAAAGGACATCATCGCCGATCTGAACAAAGACATATTTTGCCGGGCGAGAAGGAATGGCAGCCGCCTAGCAGGGACGCGACGCTTGACGTTGCTGCCACCGACCATAACGCCGCCCATTTGGCTGGGCCGACGGCGATTGGCGCCCATGGTAGACATGGTGGGGCGCAGGTTTCACAAGCCGATCCCAAGGTTGGGGGCAAGCGTAGTGAACAACGGGATCGGCCGGCGGCCACACTTTGCGAGTCAGATGATGAGGGGGATAGCGAGGACGAGGAGGACGAAGACGCCCGAATGGCGAACTACTATGCCCTTCCTGATGCTGCGCAGGAAAGGATAAAACAGGCACCCGATTTTCAACCGTTGTTTTTCTAACCTGAAAATCGATTGTCTCCAGGAGAAATGGTGTCTGGTTGCATTTCATGTTGGCAACGTTTCTGCTCGTAATTCTACACTCGATTCCGCCGGCCATCGAGGACGGGAGGACTTTCTTCACATCGTCACATATCAAGTTTACGTACCTATGTACTTTATTCAGTTCTGTGTATTCAGTTAGCGAGTCATCCGTATTTTTGTTTTCGCCGTTACAGATCATTGCTCTGCTGCGAGGTGGAGGATTGGTGAAGGCACAGTCACCCGTGTTCCTTCCTACCGACCCGGTGAAGGGGTCGTCGAGCACCTACCTGTCTCCGTTCCTCTGTCCAACCGTGTATGTCCATGCGTGGCATCGCTACTACGCATCATGTGGTGTGCCGAACCAGCCTCCTTGCTCGCGATGTGGATGGAAGGCAGTGACGGACCGCAAGGCAAGAGTCGGTGACGAAAAAGCGTGGTAGGATAGAACGAAGGGTCGTAGATGGGGATTGAGGATTGTAAGTAACGTCCAGCATCGGGCTCGTGTGACAAGGTGTTGCTTCACTCACAGCACTGCTGCCTGCCTGCCTTATAGGTGATCAACAAGGGATGGACGAGAGGCCGCCGAGTTTCGGGCATCTTCGATGACATGTTCATGATCGGAACCAAGCACCACTGCGACACGTGCATGGAGGCGAAGCAGAAGCTGAAGGTGTGCGGTTTACACAATCTAAAATCGGGCCTGGCTACTGCGAACTTCAATCTGTGCGCGGCTTGTTTTTGTTGTATGTCAGTACTTATACTTCACCAACGACACGGGTTTGATCTGTCAGACACGTTGCGCTTGTTGTGTACAGGCCCGCGCCGACGAGTGGAGAGGTGACGATGACAAGAAGCAGCGGCGTCTCTCAGCGTGTTTCTCAGCGTGACTGCGGTGCCCCTGGCCGCAGGGTTTTCTGGTGCGCGTCGAATGCACGTGCGGTTGGCCACCACGCGAAGAGTTACTAGGGGTAACCCTAACACTTCAGGTGGCGGCGCAATAAGGTGCACCGTATGTGGCCGTAGGGCAGGGGGATGGTCGTCGACAGGGTCCACGGGTTTGGCGACAGAGTCGACGGCGGAGAGTGCGGCATCTACCGTGGCTGCGCGTCCAGCAGGAGCAACGAACGCCGGTGTGCTCGGTGTTGGTGTCGGGATCGGGGCAAGGATGGCAGCAACGGAGGCCGTCCTCCCTCGCGGTGGCAGAGCAAACGGCGATAGCCAAGAGGCTCTCCCTGCAGCCGCGGCCGAAGACGCGAGCTGGCCTGGCGGTAGCCGACCACGGAACGGCGGGGGCGTTTTCTGTGCTCCACCAGAGGCAGCGTCGGTGCTAGACCAACCCGGTGATGGCGCTGCCCTCTCTGCGGCGGCAGGACCACCGAATGATGGCGGGGCTGGTGGTTATGGAGGCTCTCTTCAAACGACTGTCCCCGGCCGTTTGCCCTCAGCGGCTATGCTGGCGGTGCCCTCGGCTGCTTTGCGGGCGACGGGTCTGGTGGAGGCGCCAGCTGAAGCGGCCACCGACGTAGGTCACCGTGCCAATGCAGTACGCCAGTCAACGGGCGCAAGAGGGTTGGTAGGGGGGGCACCGGCAGCAGCGGTGGCAACGGGGCCGAGAGAGACCGAACGACAGAGGATCCAAGAACAGGTCCATCATGCTGAGAGACAGGCGACGGTGCCGGCATTCGAGGGAAGAAAGAGAGCGAGCAGCGAGCTCGGGCTTGACGGACTTGACGGCGAGGCAGGTACACCAGCGGCGACAGAAGAACGACCGGAGCAAAATCAACAACAGGTGGTCGTGGAAACGATCGTCCCAGTCCAATCTGCGTCCCCAGCAGAGAGGAAGCGGAAGAAAGCAGATCAGAGACGGCAACAAAGACAGAGGAAACGAGAACGAGAGCAGGCGCTGAGGGAGGGGGAGGGGTTGTAGCAACAGCAGTCGCGCTAGCGTTGCACGTTTGTATGTACATGGTGGACACGTTATGAGGATCGTGTCGTTTGCAGCCCAGCTGTTTTTTTCATATTTCCTCCCCATCAAGCACTTTGACGGAGAAGAAAAGTTACGGGTTGTGGGTAAACCATTGAGGATTTGGACATCATTGATTTGGACACCAACACGTTTGTTTCCCGTAGAGAGGGGTGGGTGGGTAAAGTCTAACAGATCGGTCCATTTGTTTCCGGGAGAATGTGTTGGGTTTTAGCTTTCTTGTCCAAGAAATTTCGCAACTTCATTGAACTTCAACAAGTTGTAATCACGCGACGCTCCACGCCAAGTCGTTTGTACTGGGTTTTACAAAAGCAGCCATCGTTAGCGTGTCGCAACAGCCTATGATAGGGATAGAGGGGGGCTTAGACATGCCCCACCGGCCTAGCTAGTACCCCGCAAGCGTGAACGGCTAGCGATCAATCTCGCGAAGACGACCTCAGCACCGTGCTGTGAAGGGGTGGCCAATATTCCATCCATTATCATCCTCTTGTTGACTACGGCCAACTCAAGTGTTCTTCTAGTCTTGGTGCATCCATCGCAAAAACAGTATTTCAAGCACCGTCTTGGTTTTCGAGATATAACACGTCGAAAATCGCCTCAAAACGGGGCTGGGAGAAGACCAAAACCCGAACAAAAACGCCGCCCCAAGAACTATGAACTTTTTTCTTTTTTTTCTTTTTTTTCCAGGCGCTACCAGTAAAAAATCGCCCAGAGAGGTCCACCGGAACAACAACGAAATAGGCAGCTACTACTACTATTACTGTAACGCGACACCAAACAGACGAGTGACATACTACAAGGGTTAGTTAGCGATGCGACGGAAAAACTTAGGGATACGTTCTTATCCCGCGGCTGCTGTGCTGCTGCAGGTATAGATGGGCAGCTAGGCGTGAACGCAATGGTCACACACAAACACTTGTCGGAGTAGCACTTTCGCGCTTTGCCGCTGCTGTGAACGATAGCTTCTTCGTGTGTGGGGCATCAGGCCGAACTCGACTGTATTTGCATGCGTTCTTCCTGCCCGCGATCAGGTTTGGCCCCGCCGTCGGCAAAAAATGACAACACATGCCGCTCTCGAATTGGCACGTGGGCGCTTGGGTCTGTCTGTTGTGTGTGGTGTACGCGTCGAGAGTTTCGGTTTACAGAGTATGCCTTCATCGAGGTACCCAATAAACAACAGTTCATTCAAGTCCGTTAAATCTGCGACCTTTTAGCATCCAGGACTGGTTCCAGGAATGCTGCTGTTTTTCGGAAAATAATATTTTGAACATCTGAACAGTCAAGCTCCAGACCGGAACTGAATATTATTTTGTTGTATGTCGAATCCTGCAATCGAACTCAAAAAGCTGGTTCACGCTTGAGCCTCCGCGCGCCCTCCCCCCCGCTCTCCTCCCTTTCGCAGCGACTTGATCGTGTTGGTAAGCTGCTCGCCGAAAAGAAGCCTTGGCCCGCCTTTCTGCAGATCACAGCTCGGGCGACTAAGGACTAGGAGGCTTGCCCTACCCCAGTCCAGGAGGCTCTGGCATGGATGGCAACGGCTACAGTTGGGGTGCTCGACATTGCGAGCGTAGGGCCCTTAGTGCCTGTGTGCCAGGCCTTCAAGGCTTTGATCGAGGCTGCCGAAGGTGCAGCGGAATCCCAGGACAAGCTGCAGAGATTGGTACCCCGGTGCACGATGCTCACCACCGTCTTGATTCAGCACCACCGAGCGGTTGGTCCCCTCGCCCAGGTGCAGAAGCCTATGAAGGACTTCATTGTCACTACCAACAGTCTGGCGGCGTTTGCGGCGAAATGGGCCAAGGGTGGCAAGCGCAGGGCTTTTGTTTTGCCACCGTACCGACCTGTCGACTCTCGCCGACTTCGAGGAGGGACTCCGCGGAATCACCAACGACATCGCCTTGGTGGACGGACTGGAGCATCACCAGCTTTTACTGGCCATGCATGGCCACTTGCGCCCCCCGACGTTGCCGGATATGGCCGCCGTACCTCGAGGCGCGATCTCCCTGACCGATGCCCACGTTTCGCGGCCTTTGATGCTCGAGAGAGCCATTGATTATCTAACGAACACGGCTCGGGGCGACGCGCCCTGTGTGCTGACCGGCATGGCAGGAGGGGGAAAGTCAGTCCTGGCGTCTGCGGTTGTACGGGATGAAAAAGTCCGTGAGCACTTTAGTGCCGGGATATTCTGGTGGAGGGTGGGTCGTATATCGAAGGATCGACTCCACGAGTGGTTGGAAGGGCTTGTTTTGCGAGTGGCATCAGCTTCAGGGACTACGCCCCCCATGCTTGGCAGCGTGGAAGAAGTGACGTTCTACCTGAAAGCATTTTGTGCCGACGCCGAATCACAGCGCTTGGTCGTGCTCGACGACGTATGGGAGCCGGAGGTCGTTAACGCCCTTCAGGTTACCGAGCTGCAGCTGCTGGTCACCACGCGCGACCGTTCGGTGGTGTCAATGCCGGGAGAGTGCATTGAGGTGGGGGATATGGAGGAGGACGAGGCGCTGGAGGTGCTGAGAGTCGGATGCGGAGCACCCAAGAACCTCGAGCTTCCGCGTCTGCAGGCGTTGCAGGTGACCGCCTGTTCAGTCGATTTTGACGTCTTACTGCGGACACATTTGGGTTGCTGCAGCATGTTGCTATGCCCGTCTCACATTCTTTGGGATGGCAGAACCGGTATTCCGGCACGATTAGTGATGGATCCCTTGTGTTTGGTGTTAAGGAGTGTTGCTGTATGGCACAGATAGGGTACACAGTCGGTCTAGATTAAGATGGGGGACGTCAGGAGGTATACCCTCTTAGGAAGTACCCCATCGGGACTTCGCTATCTGCGTGCCCCCAGGTTGAGGGCAGTCGGGTTCGCCTCACCTCAGACCTGTAGCAGACCCGCTTCTGCAATAACAAGCAACCTTCCCATCTCAACGTGCTCGTGGACAAGAGTGTCTACGGCAGAATCTACATCTACTACATCTAGGAGGCAAGCCACCGTCGGGCGGGCATTCCTTTAAACTTGGCGTCAATCTGGCAGGCACGGTAAGAGAGAATTGGACGCGATTCTTCCCTTTTCGTGCGCCGAGGCACGCTTTGCTCACGACCACCACGTTGCTTGTTGTTAGGTCTCACCACCCACGAGAATTTAGACTTCGCCCTTATTGGCGATTACCTGCGGGATGCCGGCTCATGATGCTTTCGCTCGTCGCTCACGAGACTGGGACCTTGCTAGTGATACGCGCATAGGAGGGCGCCGCGGTGATTCTCCCGATTTTTCTTACATGAAATGCCCATCACGAGCCATTTTGTCTGCTTCGGGAGTGCATGAAGTTCTTTCTGTGGCGGATACGTTGTGGCGGCAGCGGCCTGAGCTGCAACCCCTGTTTAGTGGGGCTCGAGATGACAGCATGCTCCCCGCTTCTACTACTGCTCCTACTGCTTTTGTGCCGGCTTACCGGCCTGCATCCCCGGACTTCCCCGTGATGCTCTCTGATTTGACTCTACGTATTTCGACATGGCGAATTTTATGTGTACACAAGTTGGGCGTCCGTTACACCACCGATCTGCCCTTCATTTTTCGGGAACAACTCACTTTTTTTTTTGGGCCATCGGCTATGCATGTAAAAGACCTCGAGTTGGAGCCTTTGCTGCCGCGCAAACCCACAGCGGTCTTTCCCCGCACCTCAGCGCCTGTTGCGGCAAAACGTCGTGCTGCGCTGCGCGAGTTTTGGACAGACAAACTAGTCTCCTCGTATAACACAGGCCCTTTTGTGCTAGCTTCTACTGCTGTTGGTACATGGCATGGAGTGCTTCTGGATGCTTTTTATGATTGGTTGGATCCGCTTCAACCAAGGGTACATCAAGCTTTTCTGGCCGGGCGTATGCTCTCTTGCGGATATCTTCGCTTTCCGTTTGAACCAAGGCAGGACCCTCCGGCCGTTGCACCCACTTTTACCGCGTCTTCTGTCCGTGGCTCTGCTGTCCCTGGCTCTGCTGTTGCCCCCACCGCCGTGGCCCCCGCCATTGCTGTTTCTACTCGTGATCGGGAATACCCCGGTTCTCTCGC